AGCAAATTGAGGGAGAATGAGAGCAAGTTGATTTGCTGAGATGAAATAGTTAGAAAATAATATCAACACATGTATGAAGATATCATGATGACACCCATTGTTATTTAATTAATCTAAATGAAAACCATTTTGAAATACAAAGTTGGCAGAATTCCATTGTACAAGATATAATTCTTCTATTTTAGAAGGAGATTTTAGCTCCTTAGATGGAATAACCAGCACAGACATAGTAGAGACATTGGGAATTTGCTCCGTAACTCCAGATAAAGGCAGCAGTAGTAGGACATGTATATCAGTGATCAGTGACTGGTTGTTTGCTGACCCTTGTTGGAGGTGATTCGTATGTGTGAGTGGTCATAATTACATTTTTCCTACTGTTACATTATCTTTCAATTTTCAAAATTAAAGCACTTTTTAAAACTGAAACAGTTAAAAAAATGTAATAGTGACATGTAATTGATACAAATTGTCCATTGAGAACATGTAATTTAAACACATACAAATGTGTGGACTATCTCATATATATTTATTCCAAGGTAGTAACACAACTTAAAGGAGATATAGGTAGGTAACCTTAGGAGTTAATTTTCCTTTAAAACTGTCTTTCATATATAGAAATATGGCTGAGAGACCAGTAAGCTGTAGAAAATATTTGGACAACTCTAAAGATTAAAGGGACAAGAATTTGGAGAGCTGGGGATGAAGTTTGAAGACCAAACTTTAAGTTACAGTGTCACACATTAAGTATTAATTGAAATAAAAATAGGATCCACTTTTGAACTTTTAGTTATTTTTTTTATGTACCAATGCAAATTCAAGATGAATGAATGACTGGATTCAGGTGAACACTTGAACTAGAATATCAACTACAACACTATTAACAACATCATTAGTCTGAAATCAACTCAAAAGCTCAAATACTGAGAAAGGATTAATACCAGAAAGTCACACACTTTTCCCAAACTTAGTCTCAGTTAACAAATAGCAGCATACACAGAGGAATGTCAAAGAACCTGAACTGGAAATAGGGTGATTTTTTTTCAACAGCAACAACATTCACACATACACAGTCATCGTGCAAATATTGGTACTATGTTTAAATATTAGAAAATTATTTTCATGTACAAGTTTTGCATATTATCAAAATATTAAATTAACAGAGATTTGAATACATTTGTATTAAACTCAATTTTATGATAAAAAATTTAATAATATCTTAACTGCAAAAGCTCTAAAATATAAAAAGAGGAGCCTGTCTGTTTGAATTAGTCCAATTCTAATACCCTTCCTGAGATATGAGAGTGCTTACATGGCACATTAATGATGACTCCAAACACAGGGCCTCATTCAGTAGCTTCAGCATCTCCTGAAACTGACCGTCATGGTACTCAAAGCGCTTCCCAAAGGTAATAGAGCAAATGATGTTGGAAACTGCATTGTTGATATTGAAGTGAGGGTCAAAAGGCTGTCCTGGAAGTGGGAAAAGAGAAAGTTGGACATTTAAAGATATTCATGTTTGTATTGTCTATAAAGAAAACAATCTTCCACTTGCCCCTTCCCCCACATTAAATACTGGAGAATGCAGAGAATGAAATAATGGATAGGCTCTGGTCACAGCACATGCACAGGGCTGGGATGAACCAAGGGTTCTGTCAATGGCTGTAAAGTCGGATTGGTGACCAGAATTTCCAGTCAGCAAAGTGATTAGTAGACCATTTCATTTGCTAGGCTACAGTCCTCTAGGTCAAAATCATAATTATAAGTTCACTAGTCAATCTTCAGTTGTCAGACCCAGTATAAACACTTAGGCACACAATAAGAATTTGTTCTACAAACATAAGGCCACAGTCCCCTTCACCTGCACTGTGAAATGCCTACCTCCCTCCTCTCTTATGACATCCACAAGGTGGTGGGCCTCCTCCTGTATTCGCTGCTCTAAGCTCTTCCTTCCCAATCCAAAGTTCCTCAGTGTCATCAGGGTGAACCTTCTTTGCTCCTTCCATGTCTGGCCACTGGAGAAGATCAATCCTGGGAAGAGGATAGTCTGCATTATGGCATTGTGTGTCTTATTTAAAATTCTCTGACAAACTGGATGGACTCATGCATGATGAAAAGAAGGAGGGTCAATAAGTCACTTGGCAGCTATCTAGAGAGACAAATCCCAAAGCACTGGAACTAATATTTACTGATTACTTACAACATTTGTTTAGCATTCCTTGTGTACTATGTGATTTAGTACTTTCAGAATGAAGGCCCATTCTACCTGAGGCAACAACTGAGACACAAACTATACTTTACAAAGAAATATAGTTAGTAAATAGAAACTTTTATTCACGTTTCAGTTTCTCCAGATCTGAAGATTATACTCTGATTACACAAATCATGTTTGTTGCGAATTGGTTTTAATGCTTTGTCTTAATTTAGCTCCCAAAAGCTGTGATTCCATACCTGAAGGTTCCTGCCCCCAGATTGCTCTGATTGGTAATAAAGAATTTCTATATAGCCAATGACTGGGCAGGGAGACAGAGGCAGGATTTTTGATTCAGTTAGCAAGGGACAAAGGGAGAGAGGGAAAAGAGAAGAATGGCCATGACTCCAGTGAGACAGATCAGATTTAACAGCTACATGAGAAAAAACATCCAACAATGTAGGTGGAAAGGGCATGTGGCCCTATGTGGTTATGGGTGATAGTTGCCCCAAACTATCACTGTCACTAGAAAGTGACAGGGCAGCAAAGATAAAATATGGATTTAGAAGTTGTTAAGCCAGGAACACCAGAGGGGAGTGTGTGCAAGCTTCCGGGAGGTTTACAAGTGCCCAGCGATTAAACTAGGAAGGTCTATTAAAAATATCTTTGGGTATGTGTATCTTTTATTCGCAATTCCAGGGAGATCTTACAGGCAGGGTAAAGGTGCAGAGTGCAGGGAATCCAGATCGGTTAACTAATTCACCGGTACACATTTGAAGTTGAATAACAGTAATACGCTCATGGAAAATACAAGACACATGATGTAAGAAAGTTTTATGGACAATGTTCTAGACAAAATATACAGTAAAGAGTGAATAAGTGACTCAAGAAAGTAGGAAGGATGAGTACTCCACACAGAGAATGTCTAGAAGCAAGGAGGAAGGTCATTCTGGTGTATTCAGCATCCACCGACTTTCATGGCATATCCAATGCCATGCTCCCCTCAGTTTTGTAACTTTCAGAGAAATCCTCAAATCCTTTTAATTTTCCCCATGAAATAAATTGATACACTTGAAGTCTGATATTGACTTTCTGATTATTTTTGAAATGAAAATAAGTATTCACCCCAGTCTATTATAGTATTAGCCAGAAGGCTAAAGAACCCTTCTGCTCTCACTTTATTGATTGAGCATGAGGAGTTACAAACAAGAAGAGGATCACCAGGAGGAAGGTGACTCATCTATTTTTCTATGGTAGAGGGTTGGAGTGGGAAAAAGGAAGTGAAATCACAGTGTGTCTGGCTGGACATACTACCAAAGCATCAAGAGTTGGTGTTCAGGACACATGGTTTCTCCTAAATCTAGAAGGGAGACACTGTAAGTCCTCCTATGAGTATGGCATCCTGCTTCTTTTATAGGTGACAGTTGGTTTATGGTAATATTGCCAAGTTATAGACAGGAACCTTTACCATGCCACAAAAATAATAAAGCACACTACATCTTGATCAAGAAACTTACCATTTTTGTTAAAGAGATGTTTTCGGAGAAGAGAGACCGGGCGATTCAGGAAATTGTGCTCCATTTGAGTAAAGACTTCTTTGATTAAGGGCATACCCGTTATAACCACTGAAGGTATGTTAGCAAAATCCAGGCTTAAAACATTTCCATATTTCTTCACAAACTGAAAAATATTACAGTAGTCACAGTTGAGCCCATGTCTGTGTGTCCAAATATGGCAGGCATGTGTGGAGCCAATGGGACTAATGCTGAGATGTCTGTGAGGACTGTGTAGGGGAAGAGGGAAGCAAGCATCTTCTTCTGCAGATATTGTAGAATTTTTACTTATAATGCATTAAGCTCAATTTTGATACACAATAAGAATACAAATTTCCTTATAGAAAATCCCAACAAATTTAGCAAATCTGAATTAGGTTTGCAGGTACTCTATGTCCCTAGGAGAAGACATGAGGTTATGTGTAGCAACAAATAGGAAAATTCTCTAATCTGAGGCATCCTGAATTCTAATGAAGGCAAAAAATATAGTTTATATGATAGTCCAAAGTTCAAGGAAGGTCTGTACATGTTTAGTGTAGTTTTATAAAAATCCCTATTTAGCCAGAGAATAATGCCCTGAAACATCTTCTATGTACAGAAGATTTCTGTGTAAAAATGTAACTAACTCTGAGAGAACTGTGTGCATTTGTGTGTGGAGGAGGCATTTTAATGTGATGGAAATGTTTCTTCTCTTTTCTCCCTTTTTCTTCTCCTCACTACTATTAGAATTTCCTCCAAAAATTTCATTCATGTACTCAGTCAATATGAATTAAATCATCATTAATGAGCTCCTAGACTAAGTTATGTAACCATAAGTATTTGAAATCAACATTGCTATTCTGAAGCAATGGCCACTCCAGGCCAGTGAAGTCCAGCTAACTATGTTCATAATCTGCCAAAGGTTGAAAGTGTATCGTTAAAGTTTGCTGTAGCAAGCATGGAATTATTAACAAATTAAACTATCTGTTTAACCAAAAGAGACTGTGGCCTCCTCATACCATGCTAGATATACAGAGTGTAATAAAGGCAAAGCCTGGGGCTGGAGACTTCCCTGCACCTCTGGAGTGACATGAACATGTTTATTCTGTGCTTCACTGTCTATGGACTCTTGGGGAAGTTGCTCTATCTTTTAAAATTTAGAACCTTAGTTATGAAAGGTAAATAATTATCCCTCCCACATTGGGTTCTATAAGGAAGAATGAAAGTAGAAGTGGGAAAGTCACCCTGTTTTCTCACTTTAGGCACTCACCCACCCTCCACATTGCTGAGAAATGAGCAAGCTTTTTATGCAGAGTGTGAGGCAGAAATCATGATGATGAGAAGGAAAGTACAGTGTGGGTCTCTGGTCATGGATGGTACTCACTGAGTAATAGATTGGTATTTTTATGTCTTATCACATCAACTTTATAAGTCATCACCATAATGAACATTTTCCATCTTCCCCAAAAGACAAGTTGTAAATGATGTAGTGTAGTCAAGAAATCAAAGCTGCTGTCTGTCAGAGGGAATCCCCAGGTATTATGTAAGATTTGAAGAAAAAGACAAGACCTTGAGATATCCAATGATCTCAGAATTTAGTGAGTGTAACAGAGTGGGAAGCAGGCATGAGTGTGAGAGATGGAAAGTTCAAGTGGGAGGAGAAGAGGGAAACAGAAGAATAGAAGAAACAAATGTCCATGATGATGTAGAATGTTCAAGTCTGTGAAAATTGAGCTGAACGACTGTGTATGAGTAGTATCATAGTTTCTTCCCTATATACACTCCACAGTTAGCTTTTTGAAGACCTCACTTCTTCCTTTTGTTCTTCTAAGTCATGTCTAGCTCCAACAGTGGTTTCAAACAGAAGGGCTACAATCTTGATTTCTCATGTTTGTGCATGTACACTCTACAGAATTGGTCACAGAGCCCTAGTCCTATATAAACCATTTCAAACAATTGTAATGTTTTGATTTCATCTTGGAATCTTACATACACATTACAACACAGCCTATAAGCAGCCTTTCTTTAATTTTTAACCAAGAGTCCTGGTTTAAGTTCATTTCATCTCTAGCAAAACTTGCCCAGTGTCGCTACTAAGGACAGATTCAAAAACTGTATGTCTTTTCTTCTAGAAGATGTAAGTAATGTACACAGAGAAATGTAGATCAGTTTTTAACTTTATCTTCATGAATGTCTCCGTGAGTTTTTAATCCTTTCAAGAAAGATTTACTGACTCATAATATTGACAAAGTAGTTCTTGGAATAACTAGAAATTTGAATGTGATAGTCCTAACTGGTAACGGATGCCATCTGGAACCTATGTTTATTCTTTAGGGAGAAACAGCATCTAAGACACTAGTTCTCAATCTGTGGGCTATGACTCCTTTCACAGAGGTTACCTAAGACCATAAAACCAATTATGAAGTAGTAACTAAAAAGTGTTATTCTTGGGGGAGGGTGGGAGGGTCACCACAATATAAGAAAATGTATTATAGGATAGGAGCATCAGAAAGATTGAGAACCACTGTTCTAAGACAAGATTCTAAAGTTAATGTCTTCTTTCCACAAGCACAAGCTCTTTGACTATTCCTAGCTCAAAAATGAAACAGTCCCTTTTATTTTACTACTAATCAAGATAGACAGGCCAGCTAATTTCCTGGAGTTCTAACCTTTGACCCTCAAGTGTGCCAGGTCTATCTGCAATTGGTTCACGTGGGTTAGATGAGAGGACTTCTCAGACGATGTTATACCACAAAGGATACTTTCCATTGTGCGACATTGTTAGTCATTTAAAAGAAGTTTTAACTAGATTAAAGTAATGAAGCTCAGAATGATAAACAACCTAAAAACTGGAACTAACAGAAAAAATAGCAACAGAGTGAAATAGGAGGCATAAGATGTAGCAACATCAATAGCAAACAAAAAGTCTGCTATTATCCTACAATGTTCAAACAGCAAGATTCAGCAGAGTGAATGTTCCAAATAAAGAAAAGTAAGACACCTAAGATTAGTGAGACATGGCATTGAGCCATAAATCTTAAGCACTGTGACTTTGAAAGACTTCCCTGACTTTTTTTAAATCTAAGAAATGTCAGAGATACACAGAGGGAAGAAAGAAAAAAGTGTTCCAATTTACCCTACTACCAGCAGAGGTGAGAAGGGGTAATAATCTGAATTAGATTTAGTTTTTAATATAAATTTTTAATTTTGAGAATTTCATACACAAATATATATTGACATCATTCCACCCTTCTCTTCTCTCTTCCAACCCCTTCAGGGTCATCACTCCCTTCTCTTTCTCAAATTCATGACCTCTTCTTCTTTAGTTAGTATTGATTTTATATGTGTGTGTGTGTGTGTGTATGTGCATATATATTACATATATATTATATATATATATACATATGCACACACACACAAACACAAACACACACACACACACACATATATGAAATTAAAATATTCATCAATGTCTAATTGTCCCAGAAAAACAGGAGGCAGGTATAGGCAACAACTTTTCCAGGAAAATAGTGTGTGTGTATACGGGGGGAAGGAAATATAGACAATGAAATGTGTGAAGAATAGCTAAAACTTCTTAATTTGGCAAAATAAAAGTCTATGTAAAATATGCAAACTGTATAAAATCCTCAAAGGAATCAAAAATAAACATCATAATCAAACTGAAAGTTAAAACAAAACAAATTGAAAACAGATGGGGAGGGCATGTTACTTAGGGGGAAATTGGAAATTATTTCTTACCAGAAACTACAAAGTCCAGAATGAAGTAAGAAGACATCTAAAACTGTTAAGTGCAGCAGATTGACAACCAAGTGTCCACAATCAGTGAAAAGACAGCGTGGGATTAAGTGGGGACCATTCTGAGGTGGGGCAAAACTAAGAAATTTTCTACTGCCATAGCCTCCTCCAAAGAAGGAAGTGCTGAAGGTCAGAAAGGAAATTGAACATGAAAGTTCAGTATCTGATATGGTTCTCAGAGTTCGGAGGTGATATGTGTTCGGAGGTAACACCTGAGACAGCTACACCACAGAAGGGAGACAGGGTCCTCCATTTTTGTAGCTGTTTCACTTCCTGTGCAAAATAGCATTAGCAAAGTCTCATGACCTGCATGTGTGCCTTGACGAACACCGAGTACCTGCTGGGAGGGTGGGGCAAGGATACACAGGAGATAGAATGAAAGAGCAAAAAGCAATAAAGAGGTAATTATTTGGAAAGTGTCCATGAAACACACAGGCAGGGAATGCGGAATAAAAGAAAAATAGTGGAAAAACAGAAGGAAAATTATGAACTTAAATCCTCAAATAGTAATAAATAATCAGACCTAGCCACTCTTCACAAGTACTAGAAAGTGACAGGGAAAATCACACAGGGCTGGAGTATTCACTATCTAAGCAGAGAAAATAACCATAGATAACAAAAAACATTAAGTGGAAAAAGGGTTATAGAGCACAAAGACCTTCCAGTCGTACACATGTACTATGTACAAATAACGGTCTTTCCTGCACAAGAGGGAGAGCTTCAAGAACTGAATGGAAAAAGAGACTTCTATTGGAGCCGTAGAGACTTCAGTGCATCTTACTCTGGAGTTGATAAAGTCGGTAAGACAAATCAGAGAACTGATATGTGCGCAGGTCAAGAGGAGAACATACTTAAACAAACAAACAAACAACCCTCGACTGGCACTGTAACCAACATCTGGGACATCCCATTTCTTAAACCAACATGATGTATTTATCAAGATAAATTATTATGTTACAAATCTACTTTAAAATACTTATAAGAATTAAAATCACAAACAGTATGTTTTCTGGTAATAAAATCACACTGCGAATCTTTCATCCTCAGATAACAAGAAAATCTGCAACTATTTGTAATCTGAACACCTATTCTCTGGGTTAGTGGGCTGTCAGCATCAGCCTTACAGTCAGGTCCAATATTCAGTCCCAGGAAGCAGCAGAAACTGTTGTCTCTTCTTACCTGCTGAAGGGATAGGTGGGGCTGCTTGGGGTCCAAATGGAACAAACAACCCAATATGGGCAGGCGCCATGGCCCTGGAGGGTAGTTCTTGGGGCGTCTGTTTTTGAGGAAATCAGCCAGGAACAGAAAGGTGAGAGCAGACAGCAGCAAAGTCGGGAGATAGAGCAAAATCCGGAGATATAGCGAGGCCCAAATGACAGCCACTAGGGAGCCCGCTGCAGCAAGCATGGCTGGTATTCCAGCAGGATCTTGAGGAAATAAAAATCTGAACTGAGGCAGGTCCCCACCTTCTCTGCCAGTAGCTCCCAGAGTGGGCCAGCCCTGTGGTTAAATCCCCTAGTCCCTACAGGGCCCAGCCCTGCAAACTCTTCCGCCCAGCTCTGTTCACTTCAGCCCCTTTGGCCAGACTTGCTCCGCAGTTCCCTAAGTGTTAACGGAGCTTTGTCCCCAGATCTCTTTCACTTTTACCTAGTCTTCCAAAGCACTCAAACAACTCCCTGGCCCCGCCTCAACGCTCTCGGTCACGCCCCTTCCCTAGTTACAAGTCTTCTTTTCTGGCTTTCCAATCTATTCCTGTGGGAGTGGGGGTGGGGTGAATTCCAGGAGAGAAGCTATTGAGCAGGTCAGGACAGACTAAGAACCTAGTTCTTATGCAAAGTCTTTCCCTCTGGTTCTCAGGCTTGTGATTTGCTTGTAGCCAAGAGAATATCATGTGTATTTGACCTCCTGTTTTATAAACAATCTTTCACCAGTGACTGCAATTTTCAGAACAAGAAAGACAGTATCATCCGACGTTTCTGGGCTGTATGCCAGGAAGAGCTCTGACCTCTTTGTAAGAGCTCACCTGCTTTGACAGTGCTATTCATGCTGAATAAGTGAATGCACAGATTCTTCACCAAAAGAACATCCTTGATTCCTCCCCAACCCCAGCCCCCTTTTGTAGTGTTAGGGAATTGAAAGCGGCCCTCGAGCATACTAACTAACCTGTCCATCATCAGTTTGCTTTCTTCCTCCATCCCTATTAACTTTTAGGATTAGTATGTTATTTAATGGATTTCATTAATGGACACTTGCATGTTCATGTATTTTCACATGAACATGAAAGTGTCCATTAATGAAAATGAAATCCAATATATATATACATACATATATACATATATACATATATACATATATACATA